TGTGCCTTGGAACGAATGGCTGCCAATTAGCTGCGGATAGCTGTGGCTACTTCTGTCTTGTTGCATGTTTGCAATTTCTGCCAGGTGGCTTTCGTGCTTCTGAACAATGGCCCCAAGTTCCCTGGCAGAAGCTGCAGAGACTGGTGCCAGGCCGGGAGCAATCGCTTCTCCTTAACATTGCACGATTTTGCCACAACGCCACCTTTTGGAGAAGTACCATTAAGGCTAGGAGGAAAGTGAATCACGATATCCATTTGGCACACTGGGGCTTCTCGCTCCTCTTGCCTGATGTATGATAGGGGAAGGCATAAGTAGACACAGCGACCAGCATACCCAGATTTGGGCAGGACCGGGGCGCCGAGTGCGTGGACGTACGCGACGATCTTGGCACTGGGAGGTTCCCGGACGAGAAGAACACTTGCGGGCTCAGCGCTGCTGATGATCCAAAGAATTTCAACAGCGACGGTACCCCGAAGACTTGCGACAGCATTGGGCGGGACACCCACTGCGTCTGCAAGAAGCCGGACAACACTGCGCACCTTGGGCTTTCACCTTGTAGTCTAGCTGTAGCTTGCATGTTGCAGTGTGTATTGGGCGATGAATTTCTTGCGTGATTCTTCAGGCCGGGCGAGCCCGTGGAGAGGACCTGTAGGGATGCCCGGGACGCCGCTGGCTTCAACTTCTCGTACCTGGACGCCGCGGACACCTGCCGAGAGGAGGCCATGTGGTTCAATCGTGTGACCTACCCGCCGAACGGCGTGCGGCCCACCCTCGAGCAGCGACTGCTTGTCTACTGCGTCCAGGATGTGTGCGCCTCAGACCCCGAGGACAGGCCGGAGGTTGCCCGCAGCTACGGTGACCGGGACCCGGATCTCGACAACAAGCCGAGCCAGTGCAACGGCCCCCTGCTCTGCAATGTGATTTGCTCCGGGCACCTCATCCAAGACTGGGGTGAATGCGTGAACCGCTGTGAGGGACACCGATCCAAGCTGCTCCACGCCGTGACGCATTACTGCAGGGCTGGTGTTTGCCCCTCGCTCCTGGAAGAGGCGGAAACCATTGGTCTGCTCCAACATCGTGGCAACCGCTCTTTGGACACAGACTCCCGCAGGTCCTACTCAAGCAGATCCCGTAGGTCCTGGTCAAGCCGATCGCGGAGATCCCGTAGAGGTGGCGGCGATGACGATGATGGCGGCCGCCGCCGCAAGGGTGGGGATGATGACGATGGCAGTCGGCGTCGTAAGGGAGGAGGTGATGATGATGACGGTGGCCGCCGTCGCAAGGGCGGTGATGATGACGACGGTAGCAGGCGTCGCAAGGGTGGAGGAGATGATGACGACGGTGGCCGCCGTCGCAAGGGGGGCGATGATGATGACGATGGCAGTAGGCGTCGAAAAGGTGGAGGTGACGATGACAAGTGCGTGGATCAGAGCTCCATGTGTCACAAACTCTGCGATGGTATGCAGCTGGAGGGTGAAGAGCTCAAGTGGTGCAAGCACAGGTGCGCCGCGAAGTTTGACATCAGGCTGAAGCCCGACTTGGATCACTATTGCCAGGTGTGCAGAAACTACTGCAAGCACCCGCCAGCGACTACGACCACCACGACCACCACCACCACCTTGAATCCTCAGTGCCCCTTCGTGACAACCACCACCAGTCATCCTCCCTACCCCTACCCGACAACAACCAGGCACCCCAAGGGGGATGATGATGATGGCAGCCGAAGGCACCAGGGGCTGAAAGGTTTCCATACAAATCCGCTTACGATCCCGCTTACATCCTCAGAAGCTTCCATATACAAGGTCAGACTTACAAAGTGCTGCAGGTCGTTGAGGGCTTGCGCGCATGAAATTTGAGGTCAACGTCTTGTACACATTTTGTTGCACGCTCATCGAGAGTTGTGAAGCCTTACGTCTAGAAGCTCACATTTACATTCCTGGGCCCCATAGATGGTAGTTTCCCAAAATAGGGGGACTCCAATATGGACCCCAAAATACTATAGTCCTTATTATAGGGACCCCCCCATAAAAAGGTACCCCTAATTTTGGGAAACCCCCATATCTCATGCTTGCTGAGAAGGCCGGAGAAGGCCTCATGCAAATCCTATAGTCTTGCACAAGGTTGCAGGGTTTAGGGTTTAGGGTTCCCTACAAATAAATCTAACCCTAGAAGCTCAGGTACCCATATAGTAGGTCCTTGGGTTACAGAAAATCTAAAATTATATAGGGTCTTAAGGACAGGAACCCACTATAGGTAACTGGGCTTCTAGGGTAAGCCAGATTCCGTGCAGATCGTCATAGTGCTGAAGGGTCCGCCATTGCCCTGCCATTTTCAGTGCCAGGGCTGGAGGAGTAGACACAATATCATGGTCAGAAGCTCTAAAAGCCATCAAAACAGGGTCCAGGTACTATATTAGGGGTTCTACTGAGGTTTTTATGGAGTTATATAGGGTGTCATATACTACTGTTACTGTGAGGGTCGCATTGAGTTTCCTCACATTTTGGCTCCACAAAGATCTCTTGCGGGAGGTTCGCCGCATTTTGTGTCTCAAACTCGTGCTCTTGAGGGTGTATGTAGGTTCCACAGAGTTTATATAGGGAAATCTATATGGTAATATACCAGCTAGGAGCATCCTCACATCTTGGCTGAAACGTGCGTTTGCGTGTCTCATGTATAACATCTCCTCACATCCTTGCCCAACATAGCGTTTTTGGAACTTCACGGACTTCACGTGACACCACTTTGGCTGGAAGTTGCGCTCTGGCATCGAGCCTTGTCAACCCTAATCCCTAAACCCTGAGCCTTACCCAAGGGCTCCAATGAGTTCCTTTTTGGGTTTGTTATGGTTTTTGTGTAGGGGATTATAATATACTACCCAAAAAGGAACTAGAGGGTCTGGGTAAACCCTCATCCCTAAACTGTAAACCCTTGTTCAAGCTCGCGCTTTTGGTTAGATAGGGTCCTCATCATCAGGGAAGGGAGCAGGTCTAGACTTGAGTTTAGTTCGCGGGGGCGGGGATGCATATGGGTTATAGTCTAAACTCCTAGTATCCCCCTTAACAGCCATTGTCATACTTCCCTACGTAATCCCTTTTATAGCCCCTTTGAGGAGTTTAGACTATAGCTCATATTGTAATTCAGTGTATGTGGCCCGGAGCGGCCACAAAATCTTCGACCATGGTGTGTCTTTGCAGCTTATGTGGTCTGAGACAAAAAAAAAATAGGGCTTAGGGTTTAGGCTCTAGGGCTTAGGGTTGAGGGTTCACGGTTTAGGAATCAGGCTAAGTCAGCTGCTTACCCAAGGGCTACAGTGAGTACTAACAATCCTTCATGACCCGAAGTACCATAAACCTTGGGAATTACCTGGAATTATAGTATGATAGCAAAGTAAGGTCATGCAAGATTTTGAGTACTAACAGTATGTAGTTACATTTTTGGGTTTTGTTATGGTTAAACGTAAGTGATTATATGTTATATATCATACTACCCAAAAAGCAGCTACGTTGGAGGTTCTGGTTAGCGCTGTTTCCCAGGACGTCCAGATACTCACCACTCACCACTATGGAATTCTGCCCCCAAAATTCTATTATGGCTGTACGTTTGTTTGATGTTTGTTTTCCGCTTACCTGGTGTTGGAAGTGGATGGCGCAGAAGGTTTTCTTTCTCCATGTTCTCAGACTCACTCTCTGGGGGTTGTCGGGCTTAGGTTTGGGGACTTCGGCTTCTGAAGTTTAGGGACCTCAGACAGATGCCTGATCACCCTTTCGCTTAAGCAACTGTTTTTAATGTCAACAAGGTCCCGCTCTAAAATGTTTACGGGTAAGCATGGTACTGGATCGTTTGGGCCGGTCAAACACACGTCTTCTTTTGAACAATTCTTGCCGTGCAGCGTTCGTTTGATTGTTTGTCCCCATAGTTGCAATACAGCCGCTTGCACACGTGTGGTTGCAGGCGACGCAAGGGCGGAGATGATGATGACGATGGAAGCCGACGTCGCAAGGATGATGATGGCCGACGTCGCAAGGATGACGACAAATCCAGCAGGAGGCGCAAGGACGATGATGGCAAGGACGATGATAGCCGACGTCGCAAGGATGACGACAAATGGGGCAGGAGGCGCAAGGACGATGATGG